AAGCCCATTGTGCCACACAAAAGAACAAAAGGTGTGTGCTTGGTGGTGACTCAACGGAGAGGTATGTACACTCACCAGAGAATCGTGAGATCCTTGCTCCAAGAGATGTCTCCAAAATAAAACATGGATCAACCATAGAGAGAAAGAGAAAGAGAGAGCCCCTGGGAGCCACCGAGAGATAAAGAGTGGGAGAGAGAAAGAAAGAAAATGGAAGAGCGGAGGAGTAAACAGGTAGAAAACTATCCACCATTCTTACCTATCTCAACTGAATAAAAATAATAATATAACGCAACCTTCTTAATCTGTCAAAGAAAAAAATCAATCTTTCAATCAATAATTTGTACTGCCTAGATTTACAGTCAGTTGCGTTTTCAGCCATTCGAATTGGAATTCTTTAGAATGAAATGTTGTTCAGTCTTCAGTGTTAATAGCTCTTCTCAATTGATTGCCACAGATACAATCCGATTGATTTCCTTTTGCTATAAAGCTATAATTCCTTCATTTCCGCTTGAAAGTCATTTGCTGCCACTTGTTATTGGGTCAGTAATTAACATGGTCCGAGGCAATTTAATTTACACCGAAACAAAAAGTTAGAGTGACTGTTAGATTAGACAATATCTTTGAATTTTTCTTTCCAATATCTTAAATAAATAATATAGTGTTAAGCTTCGGGAAAAACAAACCTTCGAATTTGATAGATTTTATGAATCAGCATATCCTGGTTGATAATTTTTGGATTATAATCTTCCCTTACTTTTTGCGTTGCCTAGACTTTTTGATTTTTGGCTCTCCCCCCTTAAATTGTTTGTGGCCCTCGTCGTTCGAGCTTGGTTTGTTTTTGTTGCTCTTTCGCTGCCAGGTGATCCCACAAAAAGGCGCAAGGCTAATGACAAAGGCAGAGAAGCCGGGAGAGGAAGAGAGTGAGCAATAGAGAGAGGAAGAGCGGTTAAGGTGGAGAGAGCCAAGGGCCAACAGGTAACATAGAGAAGGTGAAGACGGAGATGCAAACACACACACACACACACAAACGCACTCGGCTAACAAAAGCAAAACAAAAACAAAAGGCAAACAAAACAAAGTTGATTGCTTGGCTTACCTGCCCGCAGAGCGGGAGAGCGGCTGAAGAGAGCTGAGAGAGGAGAGTGGAAAGCGAGCAAGCATCCTCCAAAGATACAAAGATACAATCAACATTGAGGCACACACTTGAGCCCCTTTGAGTGCGCCAGTGTGTGTGTGTGTGTGTGTGTTTGTGCGCCTGACGGGCATCATTTGGGTCGGCATTTGCGTCCCCCTTTCGCCCCCACAAATATATACATACAAACATATGTACACACATATATACACAGATGCCCAGAGTTATTATAACGGATTTATCTCAAGTTACAAGCTCACATGCCTGTGTGTGTGCGCGCCTGAGTGCCACACATGGCAACACAAATATGATTTTATTTTATAGTATTTTTCCTTCAACTTTTTTATGCGCTTTACTTTTAAGTCAGCTCACTGCTCCACAAATAACTTCCAAGTCCTTTTCCATCTCCCGTCTTCCCACCTCCCTCCCCCCAATGTTCTTTAGTTGGACGGACTACAGTTTAACTTCTGTAAAACTTCCATATGTCACATCAACAAAAAAAAAAAAAAAAAAAAAAAACAAGAGATACAAATAAAAAGAGAAAAGAACAGTTGTTTACTCAGTTAGTTTAATATTTTCCCCCTTAAGGATATGCATTTCTAAACTTGACAGTTCGCGAGTCGAGATATTACAAAAACAAAACTTACACATATTCTACAAGAATTATCATTTAATAATACCACTAAAGTATACAGAAAACTGCGAGTTTTCCAGGGAAGTTGGACGTATTTTCTCTGTTTTGTTTTTTTTTTTGTTTTTGGTTTGAGGGCGTTGTACTATTGTTGTTGGTCATTATTTTTTGTTGTTGCCAAGGCTGCCCTCATAACGACAGGAAATTAATGATTTAATTACATTTTTGGCTAGCCATCTATGGATGTACATATACACATACATATGCATGTGTAGAGAGTGAAAGAGGGAGGGATGAAGAACCCAGATTAGTTAATGGCGGCACCTTTAATTGATTTTCCACAGCTCCCATGGGAAAGTGACCAGCCCGACTCTGTTCTCTGTGCTCTTCTTCTCCTTCTCTAACTCTCGGAGCCAAAGTCCTACCTCAACGAACCTTCTGAAAAGGCACAAAACAGGCTAAAGGAAAGAACACAAACACACAACAAATGCAAGACAACAAAATAAAAATAAATAAATAAAAAATGCTGCTGCTGCGCGTGTCCAGAATTTTAAAACAAGACCCAAGATTCCCCGATTCTCCGATCCCAAGACCCCGAGAGAGAACCAGACAAGACATGGCTTGCATGCCAAAGAAGAAACGAAATCAAATTCTTCCGCTTAGAGTCTACAGTCTACAGTTTGAGGGGCACTATCTACAACAGACCTACAAGAATTGGATACATTTCAAAATACATAAATATTTTTAGTTAATAAAAAAGATTGAAATAAGAAATCATAAAGTGATCTTAGGGACCCGAAAAAATAACAGTTTTGTCCAGTTTTGCTTTGAATTTCATATTTATATACTGTTTAAAAATAATGTAGGTATTTTAGAACCTAATTTAAGCTTAGGATCGTTGTTAATTTAACAGGTTCTATCGCTTCTCTTAACAATAAAAGTATCCAATCAATTATGGCACGCTTGAGCGGTTAATTATTATTTATTTCCTAACAATAATCATTGAATCAGACCAAGATAACATCATATAATCTCTATATTGTTTAATTAAGCCTCTAAGAGCATTTTAATTTTTAATACTATCTGTGCACTTGACTTTCTCATTTGACAAAAAGTCGGAGGGAAAAGAGAAACGTCATCGGGCATTGATTGTTGTCATCCGAAGTTCATATCGATGTCGAGAGATGTCACGGACAGTGGCTTGGGATCGACCGGTAGAAGGGGCATATTTAAAGGGGGGGCTGGGAGGCTTATGGATAGGGACAGGGACAAGGGCTGACAGTTTGGCAGGCAGCACAAATGGACAGCACACAGCTACAACTACAACTACAAGTCGCAGATAATGCACATCAAGTGCATTGCATTGCCATATCAAGTGTCGTCAAAGGAATCAGAGGCGTCCTAAAAGAGGGGCAGCCTAAAAACTGTTGGTTTCAATATTTTATTTAAACATTGAGTTCTGTTTGAGCACTCATACTTCTTAGTTGCTGTTTTCAGGTCAACAGTCAGACGGAAAAAATACCTCGCTTTCTAGTAAATATGGCAAAAAAATGCACTTGGAATTCTCAAGTACAAATTCAGTGGCAAGTAATTACATAGCAGCGTAAAATTTTAAACTCCAATTATATAGTTTTAGATATATTTGAAGGAAAAAATCGTTGTTCATAGTTATAGATACTATTTGAAGAAAGAAATCTTTAAGAAATCTTTGCTTTAGAGATATTCCCTTCCCCTTAAATGCCCCCCTTTAGGGACGCTCCTCTGCCTCAAGTACTCGGTACCATCATCATCATCGTCATCAACGTGGTAGCAACATTTGTGGGCTGTCACTGTCTGCAACTGATTAGTCAGCAGGTTTTCAATTGCGGACTGGCCAGCTAACAGGCAACGAAAGCGGACACCAAGAAGGAGCAGCCAGTGGAGAGCTGGACAAGTGGACAAGAGTGGACACACGAGAGATGGAGATGGCTGACCGCTGGCTGACCCGTAGGATAAAAAAAAAGTTCGATTCCATCGGCCTAATTGCCAAGCCCAACTGTAACTGTGAAGATATATAGAGATATTCCAGATGAGAATGAAACGGATACGGAACGATATGGAATGAAACGGAAAAATCGATTAAAAATGTATAAATATTCATCGCCGGGCGAGGAAAATAACTCGTTAATTAATAATGAGCATAAAATGAAAGCGCACGTGCTTAAATGGGGCGAACGCCAAAAGGGGAGGGAGGGAGGTAGGAGCCTTCGACTCGCGGAGGTGGGAAATAAAAGGATGCTGCCTGGGGTGACTTATGTGTACATATATACCAACAGTTGAGGGCAAAAGGGTAGCAGTGTTTACAGGACATCAACCAAAACCAAACATATCTCTAGAGATATTCAATTATTTGTTTTTTAAAACATTTTGCCTGCTTTTTGCAACTCCCTTTTCAAGCTCTATTCTTTTAACCTCTGCTGTTTCCTGAGTGCATAGTTTTTTGACAGCCACTGTGAGTTGGAAGATGGCTGGCGGGGGTGAAATCACAACAGGTTCGTTTGGCAAGGACGCGGAGCACTGGGAAAAATGTGTGAAAAATGTCAACGATGGCCAAAGGGCTGCCAATGCCGATGCCGATGCGGATGCCAGGATGCAGGAGCGAAGCAGCCAGGTGGAAAACCCACCGAGCACAGAGCGACGACTAAATAAATAAGCAGTCATAAAAACTGAGCTCTCGGTGTCGGTGTCGGTGCATTTATAGGTGGTGTGTATTTTTGCGAGCCACATGTCGGGTATTTCCGCAGCGCTGAAAATTCCATTCAGGCCGCAGGGCCACCATGAACCGTGAAGCGGCATCGAACGTAAACCGGGAGCAGGATGCAGGACGCAGGACTCGGATGCAGGAAAGCGGTAATAAATGCATCATAAAATCCAAACACAAGCGAACCAAAACACTCGCCAAGTTGGTCAAATAAATCGGTAAACAAAAGGAAAAAAATAAATAAAGAAAAGAAAAGAAACAGAATAAAAAATAAAAAAAAAGCTAGTCAATGGCCCCAGTTTTGGATTCACTGTCACCAGCTGCGCCTGCCGGTTATGCTATAGAATTTTCTTGCTAAGCGCAGACACAATGGCTGTCAAACCTTGGCTAATAATTCACTCTAACTTGATTCTATTTTAACTTTTCCCTTAATTACATAATATTAATTTAAATATTTGTAATATATATATTATAAATTAGTAATATATACCACTCACCCTTTGTGATCCAGTCGCAGACTCTGATCGCCCAGTAGAAGTTCAGTTCTTCCTATTGATATGCTACTTGTGGGACTGTTTTGCTGCTGTTGCAGTTGCAACTGTTGCTGCTGCTGTTGCTGCAACTCGTAGGCGGCACTCAGCAATTGTTGCTGCTGCTGCTGCGATCGGTTGTTGCCACTAGAAATTGCTGCTGTTGCTGTGGCACTCGTGTTATACGAATGCACATCACTGGCCTGGTGGACTATGACGTCGTCTAGTAACTGGATTAGGGATTAAAAATAATTAATATCTCTTAATAATTTATAATAATTTATAAACAATGTAAATAATTAATAAAATATATTTTTAAATATTTTAAAACCCAAAGAATCCAAAAAAATGTAATGAAATGAAGTCTACCAAGAGCTTCTTGGTGAAATAATTATTTTGAGGTCTACAAAATGATCTTTTACCTTTTACTTAATTGAATCTTAGAAAAGATTTAATTGGGACTTAAAATGATGTTTTTTTGTTATAAAATAATGGGTTTTCCTAGCTAAACACTTCATTCAATAATAAAGAATTAAGAAACCTAACTTTGCAAACTGAAATTTAAATAAAATATTAAATATAAATATATATTATAATATAAAATGTATATATAAAATATATAATATAAAATAAAATTCATTTCATAAATTTCCATAATAATATAAAACCAAAAATGATGTACAATTAAATTACTTAATAATTCATTTTATTATAAATCAATTATTTGTAAATAAACATCGTACAAAAAATATATATATTAAAATAAAATTTGTTGTTCTTCCGCAAAATTTAACAACAAATAATCAAGTTCAAGGTCAACATCCTCCCCCCCTCACCTCTCTTCTCGGTGGATACAGATTGTTCGATATCAGGAGATCACAATTCTTCATTAGTGATGCCGTTTGTGCTGCTGCCATGGAATTATTGCTATTATTGTTGTTGCTTAGGAGTAGATGTTGCTGCTGCTGCTGCTGCTGCTGTGCAGCATTATTGTTGCTGGAATGGAGCTGCAACTCAGCAAATGCCTGCTGCAGCTGGCCACTGGAAATGGCGGTGGAGTATTCCGTCTTGGGCGTGGTGGTTCCATGGACATGAACTCTTTCCCGCTGCTCCGCCGTAGGTGGAGGAGGTGCCATATCCGCATTGGCCAGCAGCGGCGATGTGGACGTTTGGGCATCCACAAAGCAAGGATTCACTGCAGCGCCCAGCTGTAGCGGTGCCGGTCGATTCAGGGATTGGATGGAGTGACCACTGTGCCGATGCTGATGGATAGCCGCTGTGGTGGCCAACGTTGCAGCTGCCGTGGGCAATGCAGTGGTTGCCGGATGCGTCGTCGTCGGCAGCTGGGCATGCTTGTTGTTGTAACTAATATACGTAATGCCGCAGTAGTTGGCCCCATCCACATCGTCATCATCGTCCAAATCCTCATTGTCCACCTCCTCGGCAAGATGTTGGAGACTGCTGGCCAGTAGGGACTTGGCCTGCAAGGGTTTGCCCGCCGCCGCCGCCGCTGCCAGTTGCTGCTGAAGCTGCTGCAACTGCTGCTGCTGCGCCTGGCTGGTCTGGTAGATGTGACCGGTGGCACTGCTGGTACTTGTACTCGTACTGGTGCCAGTACTAATGGTGGCGCTGGTGGTACTAACGGCGGTGGTGCTGGCAACGGCGGAGGAGGAGGAGCTTCCCACGATACCTGCCTGCTTCATGGCCGCCGATGTAGTGCTATTCGCATTACGATCCGCGGCCGTGGCTGCCGCTACAGCGGCACTGACCAGCGCCGAGGCACCCTGCTCCACCACCACCTGGGCTACTACCTGGTTGGGTGCTGGCGCAGAGGAGGAGCTGGCCGTTGGCACTGTGGAGGTGGCCGTGGTCGGCGCAAGCGAGGGAGCACTGATCGGACCGCCGGCAGTGGCCGTTGTCATTGTGGAACTGCTGCAGGTGATCTGGTTGCTGGTGAAGGAGGTCACATAAATGGGCGTTGATTCATTAAGGAAGCTCAGATCCTGACGCTGGCTGGTCGCTGTTCCGCTTTTCGTTTGTTGCAGCTATATATTTATATATTTTTTTTCACAGGAAGAATTTGTGGAAAAAAAACAGACATCAGGGCAATCAATTGGGGAATTCAAAGGGTGAAAATAGTACTTCAAAAAATACCTAATTAAAGGTTCACTTAAAATCACTTGCCATCCAAAGATATGCCCCACAATCAATGGTATTCTATTGATAGACTTACTCCCCAACTATCTTAATTATTGATAAGGAAAAATCACAAAACATATTTCTTTATCAGTGGTGTATGACAAGTGTCCCCACTCACAAGTGTTAAGAGAATGTGATAGTTTAGCAGAAAGCAATAGAAAATAAAATGTTATCGATATTTACCGATTATAACATTTTAATTTATTAATTTGTATTATTTGTATGTATATCAGACCTTATTTAAATGCATTTCAATAAATACTCTCAACGAAAAAAATTACCTTACCCTAAAAAATTTATTTAAGGCAAACAGAAAAGTATAATTATCGATATTTATCGATTGTTTGAGCTATTTTTAAAATATAACAGATATTCAAGCAAAAATCGGATAACAAAAACTGATAGAGATAATTATTTACATGTTATTTTGATAAACAAAAAGTAACAACAATCGATATTAATCGATAATTGATATTAAAGCAACTACCGATTGGCACTTTTCATTGCTACACAAAATAAAACCGAAAAAACATAAAGGAAATATACTGAAAAGTGTCATCATTTAACGCCGCTGACAGGCATCGTTTCGCATATATGCAAATCAATCAAATTCCATTAAAATAAAGCTAGCCAAGTAACGAAGCCCCAGTCCAAAAGCCGAACCTCGAAGACTGGTACTGGAACCCCCCATTGCACAGTCACATCGTATGTTATTGATGCTGTTCCCCTAATGAAATATGAATTATTAATGCGACGACACATAATGGATGTGGCAGAACACACGCGTGTGGGTGTGTCTGCGTCTGGGCCAGGTTTTTGTGTGGGTGGCCAAAAGCCAAAGCCGCACCTATCCCTACCAGTGCCTGCCAAACCCCACAGCCACCAGCCAATTAAGATACCTTAAGCATCCTTCGAAAAGGTGTTCTAGCCAATTCAATTGGCCTTAACCTTCTGCGGGCTAAGTACTTAGCTTTTGTGGGCGGGGAACTTCAATTCCATATAGCCATAATGCCAATAGCTAAGTGTCAAATAGAATAGAAAACACAACCAAAAAAAGAAAACCAAGAAATGAAAAAATGAACAAGTAGAATTATGGCGCTCTTTTGATGCAATTACCTGAGGATGAGTTTGCCAAGTTGGATAAAAAGATATGGGAATGGGAATAAAGATAAAAAATGGAGAAAGCATTGATAAACAGAGAGAAAAAGGGGTATGTGAAAAGAAGGTTTTAAGATAAAATAAAGACAAATTATAAGAATACAAACTGTAACTCTATTTCAAAAGTGTTTACTTGGACACCAATATATAATATAATATATAAATAAGTAAATATAATAAATAAGTAAATTAATTTAGTTTTTGGTTCAGTGTAGTTCAACGCACTGAGAGGAACGGGAATCCCCCGTACTTAACGCTTCTTGCACATTCCCACATTAGCGTTCAATTGCTGCGACATCCCTGCCGCGCCAGTACCTGCCAGGACACCTCACAACGTACCGCATCAGCACATCACCGCATCACCACCGCCGCTTCTTTTTTTTTTTTTTGTTCGCATTTTATCGGATTATTGACAGCCAAGTCGGTTTGTCAGTCTACCGCATCGGCTTGTGGATTCTCGATTTGGTGTTGAGGAGGGCGGAAGGGGAACTGAAGTGAAGTGGCTTCAGTCGCAGTCAGGAGCAGGAGCAGGGAGCACCCACGCACTCCAGCACTTATCGGATATAGCGATGCATATACGTATAAATATAACGAAATCGAAATCGAGATAGGGAGAAATCAAATGAGTCTGGGATGCCCATTGAGTGACCCTCAAGAGGGTTTACTATGTACTATTTTATTGTTTTCTAAAATTAATCTTGAAACTTGGAACAAGGGAGATAGATCCACAAGGAAATTTAAGATATATGGATGGATGATTTATTTAATAACAAAAATCAGGAAACAAAATAAATACATTTTAGTATTATTTAGTATTATTATTTATGGCAAACAGAAAAGGATAATTATCGATTTAAATCGATTAGTTAAGAAATTTGTAAAGAATAAAAATAAAATTAAATTAAATTAAAATGAAATAACAAAATCCGTAAAAGATAATTCTTCGCTTGTTATTATAATCAACAAAAAAGCGATAACAAACGATAGACATCGATTTGATTGAGCGATAACATATACTTAAGAAACTATTATTTGAATTTCGATTATCGACTGAGCTTGCCTTTGGCCCACTGTACACCTGATATGCACATTCACATTTGTTTGTATTTGAAAAATCAGTTGTTCGGTTGGTTGACTCACTGCTCCCCCGATAAGGCCAAAGCTGCAGCAGCTCCACTCTAGCGCATCCTAGACAAAGCTTCAGTCGCAGTCCCAGTCCCGATCTCGCTTGGAGTACAGTAACCCAGCCCAGAACCGAGCCGCACCTGACCCCCATTTGTGAGCATACCCTCCTCCCTCAATCTCTAACCAACCATCCATCCATCCAGCCATCGGTCGTCGGTGGGAGCGCTGAAAGCAATTGTTGGAGCGTTCAACTGTGATGACGATGATGACAAAAGCACTTGATGCGCTTAAAATTGCTGGGAGGGATTGGGATTGGGTTTGGGGAGTGGATGTAGATGTAGGAGAGGGAAGTGGTAGTGGTTAATGCGTGAGTTCCATCCACATCCACTGGAGTGGACTCGCGACTCTTCAAATGAACTGCTTCCAGAGTTCTCAATAGAATGAGTGACCAAATTATTGGTCACAAATAAATGCACTCAATATGTATTCAATTCAATCGCTTTAGACTCACTTACTGCAATTAAGTGATTGCATTCGAACCAATGAGTGTTTTTAGTTAGAGTCCTTAAGATTTTATTTTTTAATTTATCAAAGAGTTCATAGTAAATCAATTGTTATTTATTACTTACATATATATGGATTTATTTTACATTTCCCCTGCCTTTTTCAAAATGAGTTTTCCCTGAACTAAGTTATGACATTCATTCCAAAACTCATTCTCACTTGAAATAAACCAAAGTGAGTGCCAAATGAATGCATGTAATCGATGTAATTTGCATTCAAATGATTCGCCATAAGTCACTTCACTCATCGCGATCTTTTGTGCACTTAAAATGTAAAAGTAAACGTAAACGTTAACGTAACAAAAGCGACGATTACGCACTGTGAATGCTAATGAATTTTATTTACCCCGCTGACCGACACAGGCATGCACAGTGAAAAGAAATTATACTTGAAATAATACAGAGACATAAGCTATTATATAATAATTGGTAAATCCATGAAATGTATTGCAGCGATCTTGAGAAAGAAACGTGACAAAAATAGAGTTTATTTTCTTTTTTTAATTATATAGGAAAGTCTTTAGAAAACCTTTTCTCTTTCTTTGTCTTTAAACACTATCTATAATTAAAAGCCCAGGAGAGAGATGGAAATAAATTGATTTTTTCTTTAAAATTCCATAAATAAATCGATTTTTATCGAAAATTGAAATAATTCAATTTAATCGATTATAAGATCGATTTTACTTCTATATAAATATTTCTCCTAGGATAATCACAGCATTTTAAAGATTTCCTAATTGTTTTAATAACTCACTTTTACTTTTTAACCTTTTTTTAAGTGTGTAGGGGGAGGAGAGGGCCCTCTTATGCAACCCTTGAGGTGCCAATCGCTCAATTAGTCGTCAGGTAAATATATACTAACTAAATGGTAGTGACTACTCTCTGGCTTTCTGGCATGCTCACTTCCAATTACCAACATATTTGATTTGCAGTTTTGCCTTTGCATTCTCCACTTTTTTTTATTTATTTTTATTTTTATTTGCTTTCTGTTTTGCGTAACTTTTGATGGAAATTTTATTTTGCTTTGCAAGTTTATACTACGTTTGCTTTGAGCTTTTCTTTGTTGTTGTTTTTTGTATATACTTTTTTTTTTTTTTTTTTTGCTTTTCTAGTTTAGTTGTCTTTGTTTTTGTTTCCACTTTTAGTTTCAGTGTCTGCTCTTTTTTTTTATTTTGTATTTTTTTTTCCTTTTTTGTTTGTTATTGTCGTTGTCTCGTAATTTGTTTTTGTTTGTTTCGTGTGGGGTTTGTTGAATTTTTAATTGAATTTTGTGAGCACAGAGATACTTCCTCGATTTTTCCTTTTATTTTGTATCTGGGAGGGGCCAATGGTCACTCAGTTATGCCGATAAAGGGGGGTTTCCGGCAATTGCTGCCCGGCTGCCCGGCTGCCTGGCTGCCTTGGCTGCCTTGGCTGGCTGACTGGACTGCAACATGTGCGATAGAAAGCTGTTTTAATAAAACGTGGAAACGTTTTTCCCATTTTCAATTCGAGCCAAACACAGCCTGGTATTAAATAGCTGGCATTCAGCTCTCACAGCTGCCAGAGCCTGCCATCATCACATTTTTTATTGTTTCACTATTGTTTCTTGTAAATAACTATATTGTTTTGTATTATTCTTGATAGCAAGACTAGCTTTGAGTACTAAATATATGCAAGAACTCATAAAATGACTCATATATTGCTGAAATTTTAGGTGTATTTTGGGTTAGATTAAATTTCCTCATCAGCATTTGTGGTTAATTTATGTGAATTTGAAGCCCAAGTTTAGATAAAAAACTATTCCCAAAATATATCCCAGTTTTTTTTACACCCACTTACCTTCTTGGACAGCTGCGTGATATCCACGGGCGTGACGCGATTCAAGGCCGCCAGGCGCTGCAGACGCTCGCGGGCGTGCTCCTCAACGGCAATAACGAAGGCGTCCTGCACCGAGTTGCCAATGTCCCAGGCTGCAAGGATATAGATGAAACGAAGGCGATGATTAATTCAGGCACATTAAGCATTTAGCTAGCAGGGTGTAGAGGAGAAGGGAGAAGTGGCAACAACAAAGGGCTTTTGTGCCAGCATTGAAAGCAAATAAACGGGGGTGCGGTCAAACTTGCTTAATTGCTGTGATCTGCCAAGCAGAAATGACCTAAAATCGATAGTGTCGATACCAAGGCACCCACACACACTCATACTGAATGAATAATAAGAGGGGAATATATAAATACTATATATATACTATATTTGTCTAAATTTAAGGGCCATTTATATTGAACTAAGAAATAAATAGAGTTATCTATGTAATAGAATATATGTAATACCACCTAAGTATGTAATAGCACAAACACTTCTACACATGGGTTCAACACTGGCAACTGTGACTTCATGCCAGGAATGTTAGAACCAGTTGGGAATTATATATGCACTAGTGTGAGATTTTTTAACGAGAGATTTTGAGAGCGAATTTGCCTTGGTTTTAATGAAAAATTTAACATCGTCCTTATTTTAGGAAAGAAACTAAACAAAGCAATTAAAAAAGGAAAAACTCTTTAAATTAAGAAAAATACAATAATTATCCTTAAAAAATATGTATTTATGGTGGCTTATCCTAATTTTTTGAGGCCATAAATTCATGAAAAATAGTTCTTAATTGTAGAAACCTTTTCTTAGTTTTAGGGGGGTTTTTCTAAAATATAGAAAAAAAAAAAATTTATTTTTTTTAAATTTATGAAGCTTAATCTAAGATAAAACAGAAAACTTAAATACTAATATTATCCTTAATACCTAAAGTTAAAGGAAAAATGGCTTTGATAACCGATTTACTTTAATTATTATTATTTCAATTGGTAAAATATTATTCTAGGACTTCCTTTTATATATATTTCCCTCTCTACTTTTACCCAGATAATAAAATCCTTTATGTCACCCAGACGGAACTCCTCTTGACGTTGTTGAATTTACGACACTGACCTCCTCTCTAAGCCCCATGATGATGATTTGCGATGACGGGCTGCCAGGGATATGCAGACGAAACCACATCATTCCGGAGCCCGGGAATCCGGAATTTGGTAATACCCAAGGGCTCATTCGCTGCACTCATGGCGCTGTAAGCGAAGCCATTCAATACATATTCATGAGTGCATTCACAACAGGCCACAAAATGCCACCACCGGGGAATCGTTTCACTACGGTTTTCGCTCCTTATTCCATCTTCCTTGATCCTTGGAGCAGCCAAGCGGGCAACTGTCAACTTTCCGTCTCAGCCTCCTTAACTTTGTTAGGGGGCGGGTAGGGGGTTAGGGGTCGGGTTTGGAAAAGGAAAGTTTTGCTAAAAATTCGTTGGTTGCTGACAGCAACGACAACATGAATTCGCCACTTTCCCTTTACTTTCTCCATCGCATCGCATCGTGTCCTTATCCGTATCCTTCCACGTTGTCGCCAACGTCTTCGCCCACTCAACGCTTCAAGTTTTCTTGTCACTTTTATTGCTTTTCGGCTGCACTGCCGCCGCCTCCTCCTGGGAGGCTCCATGCCCACCTTGCCTCTGCCCCCCTCCCAGCACAGCACCAACAGACCCCTCGTGACCTCGGCTATAATTTCATTTTGCTGCCCTTGCGTTTTCGGATGTTGATTGCGCCGAAAAGCGGTCGGCTTTAGAAGGGGGGGATGGCGGCTGATTTTTGGAGGAGGTGGAGAGAGACGGAGACGCCCTGACCTACAACCTATACACAACAGCCCCCCCCCCAAGCCCCTAAGCTCCAGCCCCCAAAACCCCGATAGAGCGACCCCATTCCACCCGCTGAGCGTGCCCGGGCAAAAGTGGAGCGCTCGGGCCAGATCCAATTAGGCGCCGCGTTGTCAGCCTCGATGTCGCTACATGTCGTTGAACCTACGCTCCTTTACACCGGCCCTCGGGCCCAGCCATGCACTGAGAATAAAGATGTAACAAATAATAAATACAAACTATTTGTAGATGAAAGTAAGAAGAAATTCATTTAAAAATCGAATCTTAAGATCTTCTTCATTTTAAATATTTTAATTATTATTTTTTAACCCAGAAATGTGTCCCGTTTTTAGCCATTTATTTCCCTCAGTGTTTACTTGGCAAGGGTTCGGCGCGTGGGGGGATTTTGCGAGTTGAAGCTGCTAGCCAGCGTTCGCCTAGGAGCTTGGAGCTCCGAGTTCCCAGCTCCTAGCTCTCAGCAAAGCTCTGACTTTTAATCTCATTTGTGCGAGTGAGCGAGTGTGTGTGTGTGTGTGTGTGACCCTGTGCTTGTCCATGTGGGGTGGGTGGGCGTTATGTGTGTGTCTTTCGCTTGTGTCATTCAGTTGCGCGACCCCGCCTCGGATGGCATCCTCTCATAAGTCTTGACACGACGTGTCAGTGGAGAGCACCCCTTCAGAGTCCCAAGACCGGGCAATTGCGATTCCGATTGAGTAGGAAAAGGTGGGCAAAAAAAAAAAAAAATTAACAGTATAGGATGGGTGTTGTATTTTCCCGGAGGGGTGTCTTTAGGGGGCGGACATCGGACATCCAACACCGCCCATTTGACACATGCAAATGTTTGTAATCGAATTGTTGACGGAGCCATCGTAGGTGTCCGTTATTGTCCGTGCTTCGTTGTCTGCTCTACACTGTCCACTGTCCGTTGTCCGTTGTCCGTTGTCCGTTGTCTCTTGTCCGTTGTATCGAGTGTTTGTGCAATATTATTAACCTTAATTAGCTATTAATAGGTCTTGTGGCCCAAAGAGGACAGATGAGTTGAGGTCCAAGGGAAAGGGTATAGCGAGGGTATATAGAAAGTTATATATAGTATAAGGAATGCCAATAGGTTTACACAATTTGCATAAATAATATTATTCTATTAATAATTTTTAATAATTAATTTTAATAAATGGGGATTTTGTTTTTTATTTATAGGAAAATAGTAATCATATAAAGGTAGATAGATAGATAGATAGATAGATGGATAGATAGATAAATGGACAGATAGGTAGATGGATAGATGGATATTATACATTTCCCAAAGTTTCCAAAATTTCAAGTATCGATAGGCATCATCATATGTTCTCAATATTTTATCGATAATCAATTATGAGGATTAGAATGCGATACAAAGTTATATCTTATGAAATGTAAAGGGTATTAACCTAGAATTATTTTAGCTTTTATTATACATTTCCCAAAGTTTCCAAAATTTCAAGTATCGATAGGCATCATCTTATGCTATCAATATTTTATCGATAATCAATTATGTAGATTAGAATGCGATACAAAGTTATATCTTATGAATTTTATAGGGTATTACCCTCGCCCAGTTAAGATTCCAGAACACCACGCTGGTTTCCCGTTACCTTGCCTCATTTACCGCAGCTCGTGTGGCACTTCACACATCTGAAGGGGGAAAAACTTCTCCGCTTAATGGGCCTCCGTACTGAAATCTTGAGGGAAGGGAGGCTTTAATTGCCCGCCAGCAGATCGATAAACAATAAACTAAAGTGCACTCGAATTGCAGAAAACCACGTGAGAAGTGGCTGCAACGTGCAACGTGGAGCTTGCAACTTGCCACCAACCAACTGAACACTTCCAAAGCAAACTTCCAGCGATGGATTTCAATTGGCGACTGGCGAATTCGAATTCAACTTCGACCGCAAATCGCAATTCACAAATCTGCAAAACTTTCGCCCTGATTGCGATTCAGATCAAGAAATAGAAATGCCAAAACAGAGTTTTATAGAGTTGAAAATCGATTTTCCTAAAGTATATAAACATATATTCTCATAGCTTAGCATTTGAATATTAATTAAATTTAATGAGTAAGTCAACTAATCACTTTTATTTACTTTTATTTATTACATCCCCCATAAAAAAAAAACATAAAATAAAAGTGTCATAATTGCGGAATCTGAATCTTCAGCAAATGAAGGCCAACAGCGACTGTGAAATGCAATATTTGTCGTCTGCCAATTGTTGTTTTTTTCACAACACGGCTTTTGTTGTTAACTTGGCCCTGGCCTTTAACCAGAGACAGTGAAAACAGCAACAGAAAGAAAAACAAAACAAAATTTTGCAAATTTAAATCTATGAAAAATCGTACATTAGTAAGCTATAAATTGATGATTTAATAATTAGCAATATAATGTAAATAAGGGAATATGCCAGAATCTCACAACTCTAATTGCTGCGAATTCTTCTTGCGAGAAATATATATAGATATATCTATATATACATATATCATTATTGTGATTATATTTTGGCCTTCTTCGCTGGCTGTTTTGCGGCTTTAATCGCTTCACTTTTGATGTTTTCTGTTGCTTTGTGAGCAAAAACCCGTTTCGGCGAGTAGAAGATTTCGCTGAAAATCACTTTATCTGCGAAACAAACACACACACACCAACACAGAGAGAGACAGGTGTGTGCACAGGTGTATATGCTGTGCTGTGAGCAAATTGCTTTCAGTTGCCTCCGCTCTTTTATCTACGAATCATGTGCACACACAACTTATGTAACCGCACAATCGAGTATCGCATTTCCCATCGCCGTCAATGGCGAATCCGAGCCAAAAACAATGGACTTGGACTTGGACTTGGAATCGGATCGAAAGGGATCACATCAATATATTGGAAGAAACCAGGCAAGGAATAAGGTTTTGTAGGAGAGCCACAAGATGCCTTTAGGATACTATCAAAGGTTCTATTGTGAGGGAATTCTCTCAATGAAGGATTTGAAAAGTTGGGCTAACTTAACTTAAGAAATGTTAAAAAAGGTCATAAAGTTAAACAGAATATAATAGTAAAAGATGCAGAAACGTTGGACAACCCTTTTAATTAGTTTAAATATTATAAATATATATGCAAACCAAATTTATAACAAAAAGCCTCACTAATTGCTTTCTTATCCAGTATTATTATTAAAAGAATTTAATTTATAAATAAATCTTAATCAGATTATTAATTACTAATA